TCTGTCAGTCTGTCAGTCTGTCAGGTCTGTCAGTCTGTCAGTCTGTCAGTCTGTCAGTCTGTCAGTCTGTCAGTCTGTCAGTCTGTCAGTCTGTCAGTGTCAGTCCTGTCAGTCTGTCAGTCTGTCAGTCTGGTCAGTCTGTCAGTCTGTCAGTCTGTCAGTCTGTCAGTCTGTCAGTCTGTCAGTCTGTCAGTCTGTCAGTCCTGTCAGTCTGTCAGTCTGTCAGTCTGTCAGTCTGTCAGTCTGTCAGTCTGTCAGTCTGTCAGTCTGTCAGTCTGTCAGTCTGTCAGTCTGTCAGTCTGTCAGTCCTGCTGTCAGTCTGTCAGTCTGTCAGTCTGTCAGTCTGTCAGTCTGTCAGTCTGTCAGTCTGTCAGTCTTGTCAGTCTGTCAGTCTGTCAGTCTGTCAGTCTGTCAGTCTGTCAGTCTGTCAGTCTGTCAGTCTGTCAGTCTGTCAGTCTGTCAGTCTGTCAGTCTGTCAGTCTGTCAGTCTGTCAGTCTGTCAGTCTGTCAGTCTGTCAGTCTGTCAGTCTGTCAGTCTGTCAGTCTGTCAGTCTGTCAGTCTGTCAGTCTGTCAGTCTGTCAGTCTGTCAGTCTGTCAGTCTGTCAGTCTGTCAGTCTGTCAGTCTGTCAGTCTGTCAGTCTGTCAGTCTGTCAGTCTGTCAGTCTGTCAGTCTGTCAGTCTGTCAGTCTGTCAGTCTGTCAGTCTGTCAGTCTGTCAGTCTGTCAGTCTGTCAGTCTGTCAGTCTGTCAGTCTGTCAGTCTGTCAGTCTGTCAGTCTGTCAGTCTGTCAGTCTGTCAGTCTGTCAGTCTGTCAGTCTGTCAGTCTGTCAGTCTGTCAGTCTGTCCAGTCTGTCAGTCTGTCAGTCTGTCAGTCTGTCAGTCTGTCAGTCTGTCAGTCTGTCAGTCTGTCAGTCTGTCAGTCTGTCAGTCTGTCAGTCTGTCAGTCTGTCAGTCTGTCAGTCTGTCAGTCTGTCAGTCTGTCAGTCTTTTGTCAGTCTGTCAGTCTGTCAGTCTGTCAGTCTGTCCAGTCTGTCAGTCTGTCAGTCTGTCAGTCTGTCAGTCTGTCAGGTCTGTCAGTCTGTCAGTCTGTCAGTCCTGTCAGTCTGTCCAGTCTGTCAGTCTGTCAGTCTGTCCAGTCTGTCAGTCTGTCAGTCTGTCAGTCTGTCAGTCTGTCAGTCTGTCAGTCTGTCAGTCTTGTCCAGTCTGTCAGTCTGTCAGTCTGTCAGTCTGTCCAGTCTGTCAGTCTGTCAGTCTGTCAGTCTGTCAGTCTGTCAGTCTGTCAGTCTGTCAGTCTGTCAGTCTGTCAGTCTGTCAGGTCTGTCAGTCTGTCAGTCTGTCAGTCTGTCAGTCTGTCAGTCTGTCAGTCTGTCAGGTCTGTCAGTCTGTCAGTCTGTCAGTCTGTCAGTCTGTCAGTCTGTCAGTCTGTCAGTCTGTCAGTCTGTCAGTCTGTCAGTCTGTCAGTCTGTCAGTCTGTCAGTCTGTCAGTCTGTCAGTCTGGTCCAGTCTGTCAGTCTGTCAGTCTGTCAGTCTGTCAGTCTGTCAGTCTGTCAGTCTGTCAGTCTGTCAGTCTGTCAGTCTGTCAGTCTGTCAGTCTGTCAGTCTGTCAGTCTGTCAGTCTGTCAGTCTGTCAGTCTGTCAGTCTGTCAGTCTGTCAGTCTGTCAGTCTGTCAGTTCCTGTCAGTCTGTCAGTCTGTCAGTCTGTCAGTCTGTCAGTCTGTCAGTCTGTCAGTCTGTCAGTCTGTCAGTCTGTCAGTCTGTCAGTCTGTCAGTCTGTCCAGTCTGTCAGTCTGTCAGTCTGTCAGTCCTGTCAGTCTGTCAGTCTGTCAGTCTGTCAGTCTGTCAGTCTGTCAGTCTGTCAGTCTGTCAGTCTGTCAGTCTGTCAGTCTGTCAGTCTGTCAGTCTGTCAGTCTGTCAGTCTGTCAGTCTGTCAGTCTGTCAGTCTGTCAGTCTGTCAGTCTGTCAGTCTGTCAGTCTGTCAGTCTGTCAGTCTGTCAGTCTGTCAGTCTGTCAGTCTGTCAGTCTGTCAGTCTGTCAGTCTGTCAGTCTGTCAGTCTGTCAGTCTGTCAGTCGTCAGTCTGTCAGTCTGTCAGTCTGTCAGTCTGTCAGTCTGTCAGTCTGTCAGTCTGTCAGTCTGTCAGTCTGTCAGTCTGTCAGTCTGTCAGTCTGTCAGTCTGTCAGTCTGTCAGTCTGTCAGTCTGTCAGTCTGTCAGTCTGTCAGTCTGTCAGTCTGTCAGTCTGTCAGTCTGTCAGTCTGTCAGTCTGTCAGTCTGTCAGTCTGTCAGTCTGTCAGTCTGTCAGTCTGTCAGTCTGTCAGTCTGTCAGTCTGTCAGTCTGTCAGTCTGTCAGTCTGTCAGTCTGTCAGTCTGTCAGTCTGTCAGTCTGTCAGTCTGTCAGTCTGTCAGTCTGTCAGTCTGTCAGTCTGTCAGTCTGTCAGTCTGTCAGTCTGTCAGTCTGTCAGTCTGTCAGTCTGTCAGTCTGTCAGTCTGTCAGTCTTGTCCAGTCTGTCAGTCTGTCAGTCTGTCAGTCTGTCAGTCTGTCAGTCTGTCAGTCTGTCAGTTCTGTCAGTCTGTCAGTCTGTCAGTCTGTCAGTCTGTCAGTCTGTCAGTCTGTCAGTCTGTCAGTCTGTCAGTCTGTCAGTCTGTCAGTCTGTCAGTCTGTCAGTCTGTCAGTCTGTCAGTCTGTCAGTCTGTCAGTCTGTCAGTCTGTCAGTCTGTCAGTCTGTCAGTCTGTCAGTCTGTCAGTCTGTCAGTCTGTCAGTCTGTCAGTCTGTCAGTCTGTCAGTCTGTCAGTCTGTCAGTCTGTCAGTCTGTCAGTCTGTCAGTCTGTCAGTCTGTCAGTCTGTCAGTCTGTCAGTCTGTCAGTCTGTCAGTCTGTCAGTCTGTCAGTCTGTCAGTCTGTCAGTCTGTCAGTCTGTCAGTCTGTCAGTCTGTCAGTCTGTCAGTCTGTCAGTCTGTCAGTCTGTCAGTCTGTCAGTCTGTCAGTCTGTCCAGTCCATGTCAGTCTGTTCAGTCTGTCAGTCTGTCAGTCTGGTGTCAGTCTGTCAGTCTGTCAGTCTGTCAGTCTGTCAGTCTGTCAGTCTGTCAGTCTGTCAGTCTGTCAGTCTGTCAGTCTGTCAGTCTGTCAGTCTGTCAGTCTGTCAGTCTGTCAGTCTGTCAGTCTGTCAGTCTGTCAGTCTGGTCTCAGTCTGTCAGTCTGTCAGTCTGTCAGTCTGTCAGTCTGTCAGTCTGTCAGTCTGTCAGTCTGTCAGTCTGTCAGTCTGTTCAGTCTGTCAGTCTGTCAGTCTGTCAGTCTGTCAGTCTGTCAGTCTGTCAGTCTGTCAGTCTGTCAGTCTGTCAGTCTGTCAGTCTGTCAGTCTGTCAGTCTGTCAGTCTGTCAGTCTGTCCAGTCTGTCAGTCTGTCAGTCTGTCAGTCTGTCAGTCTGTCAGTCTGTCAGTCTGTCAGTCTGGTCAGTCTGTCAGTCTGTCAGTCTGTCAGTCTGTCAGTCTGTCAGTCTGTCAGTCTGTCAGTCTGTCAGTCTGTCAGTCTGTCAGTCTGTCAGTCTGTCAGTCTGTCTGTCTGTCTGTCTGTCTGTCTGTCTGTCTGCTATTAGAAATGGTTGTACATGAATTTGTTTTTGCTTTGTATACTATTTAGTAGTTAAGCCACTATTAACATAGTGATGTGTGTATTTTGTTATTGCATTAGTAAATAGTTAACCTAACGTAAAATCTTCCACACAAAAGTATGCAACAATAAGGAATTTACTTAAATGTATTGATTATAATTCACAACTGGTTCTAGAGCTTCGTACACCGAGGCTCCCAAGCCATGCTCAGAAAAGTTAAGGCTTTACTTAAAATATATATCTGTAAAGTCTTCAACATGCTTCTAGCTGGAAGTCACTTGAAAAGTGACTCAACAAAAACATTACCATGCTACAGTGACGTTTCTATGAACTTAAATAATTAATAACGTTATCAATTTTATATCTATAAAAATGTAACCATATTTATGGTTCGCATAACTACCCTTTTATACAGTTTAATAACTATTTTCTATAGAAACTCTTACGTTAAAGTATTACATAAAAGTAACTATTTAATGGGTAAAAATGAAAATTCGATGGTTGGAGACGGTTTTAGTATTATGTTAGTCCACTTTACCAATCGATTTTTTTTTGTTTTTAGATGTTTGAGTTAGTGTTTATAGCTTCTTCATATTTTTGGTATAACGGATTCGATCTAGACTTAAAGGCTAGGCTAATAATGCTCAGCATAAAACTGTGCCCCCCACAGCTTTGATGCGAGAAATAATAACTTGCCTAAGAAGTTACAAGCGTTAGTTTTTCCAACAATCCAACCAAACAAGTCATTAAAGTACGACACAAAAACGTTTGTCACAATTTTTACACTTTTTATTACTTACAAAATTAGGTTATTGAGGAGTGTTTAGGATTTCAAAATACCTTTTCAACGGCGTATTTATTGTTTATATCTGTTTTCTCGAGCTGTTTAACACATAATACTTTTAGTATCCTGAAAAAGAGATTGGATATTCACGAAAAGACAAACAAAACGACACAAATTCCCGTTTTGAAAAGTTCGCCTAATTTTATTTTTATACCCTTGCAGAGGGTGTTATGATTTCAGTCAGAAGTTTCCAACGCAGTGATGCAGTCGTTTCCGACCCCATAAAGGCTATAACTTTCCCAAAAGTCTTATTTCTTTTGCAGGTAGTATATAAGTCGGAACCAGCCGGATCGGACAACTATATCTTGTAGCTTCCATAGTATTAATCGGAAAAAACAAATTAAAAAAAATTATGTCTTTGGTGTATTTTTTTTACATATAACCTCCTACGCTTTGAAATTACACTTTTTAATTAGTTCTGAATTTTGAATTTAGTTTTATCAAAATCGGACGACTATATCATAAAGCTGCCATGAGAACGATTGGAAAATTAATGGGAAAATAATATGAAACAAATTATAGCTTCGGTGTTTTTTGACATATTATCTTATGCTATTGGAATATAATTTTTTTGTATTTTTAAGAATTTTGAATTAAATTTAATAATTATAACCGCAAGAGTATATAACTTGCTTTCTTGTTTTGAAAAAACTTAATTAATTAACTTAACTAAAATGCAACTAGGCTCCAATTTCACATGCAACGCTCAATAACCATCTACATGATACAAATTTATGAAATCAGACCTTTTATTAAAAGATAAGACCAATGAAAATTTTCTGCGCCAGAGCCAGTTCGTCGATTTTAATACATTTATTTTATAGCTTTGCGATTGGTGTGGCAAATACTGGAACTACCGCAATAGCGGAAATTCAATTTGCGGACTACATATTTCCGAGCTTTGACCAGATAGTAAATGAAGCTGCCAAATATCGATACCGAAGTGGTGGGCTCTTTGACTGTGGATCATTAACTTTTAGAGTTCCTTGTGGTGCTGTCGGTCACGGGGCACTCTACCATTCTTAAAGTTCAGAATCATACTTTGCTCACACCCCGGGCCTTCGTGTAGTGGTAATTTTAAAGTATAAAGAAGTTCTGGAAAATATACTTTGTATTTTGTATTTTTGATTAAAAAAGGTTCCCCGTGGACCCATAAAGGCAAAGGGTCTTCTTCTTGCATGCGTTCGTGATCCAAACCATTGTATAATTGTTGAGCCTAAAACTTTGTATCGGGCAGCTGTTGAGGATGTGCCAACGGAATACTTTACCTCGAAACTCGGCAAAGCTGACATACTTCGGGATGGAAAAGATGTCAAACTTGTTGGTTGGGGTACACAAGTCCATGTTTTATTAGAAGTGTGTGCAGACATTTTTATACCCGTTACTCGTAGAGTAAAAGGGTATACTAGATTTGTCGGAAAGTATGTAACAGGCAGAAGGAAGCGTTTCCGACCCCATAAAGTATATATATTCTTGATCAGGATCACTAGCCGAGTCGATCTAGCCATGTCCGTCTGTCCGTCCGTCCGTATGAACGCTGAGATCTCGGAAACTATGAGAGTTACAATACTGGGATTAGGCACGCAGATTCCTGAGATTCCTGCGCAGCGCCAGTTTGTTTCAGTAGGGTGCCACGACCACAAACCGCCCAAAACTGTGGCTCCTACAGTTTTGATGCTAGAATAAAAATTTTAACTGAAATGTATTGTTCTCACCAATACCTATCGATTGACCTAAAAAAAAGTTTGCCACGCCCACTTTAACGCCCACAAGCCGCGAAAACCTGTGACGCCCACAATTTACATGCTAGATAAAAAATTGATCCAAAAAAAAATTTGCCACGCCCACTCTAACGCCCATAACGCTTAAATCTGTATACCGCCGGTGTGTGGCGCATTTTAATCTCGCTTTGCTGCTTGCATATCTCTATTTAGCTGAGTAACGGGTATCTGATAGTCGAGGTACTCGACTATAGCGTTCTTCCTAGTTTGTTTTGTTTTCTAAGATAATAAATCGTTTTATAGGTTGCTGAAATGGCCAAAGTACATTTGCATGTGGATTGTGAAGTAATCGATTTGGTCTCTATTTTACCGTGGGACACAACTTTAATTTGTACCGTAAGTAACCAAGTTGGGTTTCCTTTTAACAAGTTTATACAATATTTGTAAAAAGCTTTAGTCTGCTTAAAAATTATTAATTATAATTATTATTATAATTATTATTATAATTGCTCATGAAGCTCCATTAAACCAGGGATTTGGCTCAGAACTAGCATCATACATCCAAGAAAAATGTTTTTTCACCTTGAAGATCCCGTGAAGCGGGTGACTGGATGGGATACACCGTTTCCTCATGTCTTTGAGCCCTTTTATTTGCCCGATAAACATATATGCTTGTCGGCTATAAAGGAAATGGTTAACTTTTAGTACCTTGGCCCATTTTTTTTCGTGTAAGGAACGGACATGAAGATAACTAAATGCATTTACTTACAAAAAATGTTATATTTAAATGTTTACTCATTTAACAACAATAATTTACATATTAAACCTACTTTACTTCCTGCAAAACGGGTTATCCAAAATATGAAACTTAAAAGATAATTGGTTATTTTATTATAATTTTTGTAGCTGAACGATAAATGTTTTTCAAATGGGTAAAAAAATGTCCACATCACTTTCACAACACTGGTAATAGTTATATGGTAATAATATGGAAAATGAGCCTGTACCTGCGATAAATCAACTATACCAACAAGTTCGACTCCAACCTCACTGCTTTATCTGGTGTGCCACAAAAATCGCAGAGCGCCCATTCAATGCAGAGGGGATTTCTGTGGCACCGCGGTATAACTTCACCCTAGTGCAAACAGATTTTTAATGATTTTGACAAAAACATTACATTATTTTGTGGTTATTTTGTATTTATATTAAAATATGTCAAGTCATTATTGCTCTAACCTCCGAGTTGAGTAGACATTTAAGTAAAGACAGAGTGCAGTGCAACGAAAATATATAGAATATATGTATATACATACCAAAACAAAATTAAATATATATGTATGTAAAACAAAATAAAATTAAAATATATATACAAAAGTCTTTACTTTGTGTTTAAATAAAAGATGGTGGATGTCAGGATTAAGAAAATAAAAGAAGATTAATCTGCTTGTCACAAGTCATCTTTCGTTATAATTTCAAAGAGGAAACCGGAATTTTTTTCATAGTGAAAGAGAGACATTTATTATAGAATTCCCAGTCTATAAAAATACACGGAAATCTCTTCCAACACAACTTCTTGGTATCACATGCGTCCTTGTCAGGGGTGTCACAGATACAGTCGATAGTTTTGGGGACGATTTCTATAAAAAGCATACTTAAAAATCAGCAAACAAATTTATTTTAGCTATACTTTTTTTTAGTTTCTTTGTTTGTGTTTTAACTTCTAAAAATGAAAAAAAAGTGTTAAAATTTTAAACAATAATCGTCGTAAGCCCGGTTCGTCAAGTGGAAACTGAGCAGGTCCTGGTTCGACTAGCCAGGATGGACGAGCTGTCGATCGTCGTGGTTTTAAGGGACGCAGTCCTGGAACACACAGGACCAGAGCACAGGAAATCGCAAACGGTGTACATCGTCAACAATATCACAGAGACCTCACTGACACAAGCAATAGGGTGAAACTAGGGTGGAACAAACTGTTAGCCAGCCTCCTGGCGTAAGCCTTGAGTAGTTGGGAAACGCGGATTCTTGGACAATTAGCATATTAATGGCCGCCGCCCCCTTACTAATTAGCATATTAATGACCTCCGCCTCTCACTAACTAACATATTAATGGCCCCCGCCTCTTCATTAATGTATGCGGGTTCTGGGACACTTAGCATAATCCATAAGTTATCTGATTTTAAAAGGTTTAGATGTCATAAAAATGTCACGATCATATCCATAAAGAGTATACTAAATTGCCCCCCAACCCCACACCACCATGTGACAATACTGATCACATATCCTTTTCCTTATTATCAGCAATTAATATTCAGCAGGTGTTGCTGTACACGGGAGAAAGGTCGCACACTTTCCCCACATCTCCATGTGACAATACTGATCACATATCCTTTTCCTCATTACCAGCAATTCATATTCAGCAGGTGTTGCTGTACACGGGAGAAAGGTCGCACACTTTCCCCACATCCCCATGTGACAATACTGATCACATATCCTTTTCCTCATTATCAGCAATTAATATTCAGCAGGTGTTGCTGTACACGGGAGAAAGGTCGAACACTTTCCCCACATCCCCATGTGACAATACTGATCACATAACCTTTTCCTCATTATCAGCAATTAATATTCAGCAGGTGTTGCTGTACACGGGAGAAAGGTCGCACACTTTCCCCACATCCCCATGTGACAATATTGATCATGTATCCTTTTCCTCATTATCAGCAATTAATATTCAGCAGGTGTTGCTCTGCACGTGAGAAAGGTCGCAAACCCAAAACATCTAAAGATGGTTGCCTTAGAGGGACATGTCCGATCATGTTGGGGAATAACGTTTCCTATGATTGTAAAACTAATTTAGAAATCAAAAGAATTTCAATAAAATAAGTCCCACAAGTTAATGATTCTCGGATGTCGAATATTTTCAAACAGACATTTTTTTTCGCCCCAGAATGTTCAACTGGTAAATTTTCCAAGATCTCTCCTTTCTACAAAAACGTCTCATAAACATATCATAAAAGGGATTCAAGCAAGAGCTACCCGAACATGCGCACCTGTCTATTACCTGACCGGAATAAAAGGGACACATGCACAAGTCTGAAGGCGCACGCCCATTGACAAGATCATGGGCCTCACGCCAACAACAAATTTTTTAATGGTACAGAAAAATACAATACATACAATGGTACAGTTAAAATAAGTCCCACAAGTTAGTGATTCTCGGATGTCGAATATTTTCAAACAGACATTTTTTTTCGCCCCAGAATGTTCAACTGGTAAATTTTCCAAGATCTCTCCTTTCTACAAAAACGTCTCATAAACATATCATATAAGGGATTCAAGCAAGAGCTACCCGAACATGCGCACCTGTCTATTACCTGACCGGAATAAAAGGGACACATGCACAAGTCTGAAGGCGCACGCCCATTGACAAGATCATGGGCCTCACGCCAACAACAAATTTTTTAATGGTACAGAAAAATTTTAAGTGAGGATCCCGTAGAAATTTCGTCTCCACTACTCCATCCAGAATTTAATAGGTATTGACTTTGAAGATTATCCAGAGATATACAATTTTTTAGGGTAGTAGTCACACCGACATAGACATGACACGTTGGACTCGTTGTATTTAGTTGTTACCTAGCAGTATTTTGATGGTTACTTTCTTTTTAGTCTTGTTTTTGGATGGTTACTTTTTGTATAGCTCCTGTAAAGTACTTGATTTTGGATGGTTACTATCTGTGTAGTATCTGTAAAGTACTTGGTTTTAGATGGTAACTAAATGTTAACAAGTATTATGAGTTGCTATAGTCTCTAATTAAGAATAAACAAAGTACACAAGTTAAAGTTTCTAAGATATGTTAGCCAAACACACTTGCAGTGAACTATCATTACCTCACCGTCATCAAAGTCACATGCCCAAGACCCAAGGACATTGAATAAAATACTTCCCCTTCATTTGTACCTGTACCTAATTACAGTCAGAAACAAAATTTGTAGGATCATTCAATATTTTTTTATATATTTTATTATTGTAAACATATTTCATTAAATTCATAATTAATTATATTTTATGTATATTTGTATATAATTAATTATCCCTCTGTAAGAGACATCGGTTATTAATCTTCGTTCCAAACGCAGATTTTCGCTTGGTTCCCATAGATAGATGTAAAATAGTTTTCACTATGTAATCTTTCTCAGATGTTGGATTATTTTTAAAGCATTCATTTGGTCTAACCCATAATAATATTATAACATATTTCGAAAGCATCATTAGCTAGCATAGGAGCGTCTTTCAATTTAATTTCTGATTCAAGTTTATGATAGAGGTGTTGGGACCTGGTAATATCGGTTTTTGTTGTCAACTATTTTTCTAGTTCTAGTTTTCTAATTCTATTCTATTTGTATACTATTTGTATGAGTAAGGCATCATTGTCTAAGATTCTACATAAGTTTAATAAACTCTTTAATTACAATACTGATTAGCTGGTTACTATATGTTTAGTAGATGTATACAAGTTGTTAAGTATCTGGTTACTATATGTTTAGTAGATGTATACAAGTTGTTTAGTATCTGGTTTCTATATGTTTAGTAAATGTATACAAGTTGTTTAGTATATGTATACAAGTTGTTTACTAGCTGTTTAGTATCTGGTTTATATATGTTTAGTATCTGTTTACTTGATGTTTACTAATTATTATTAGCTGGTTACTAGTTGTTATTAACGTCTACGAGCTTTTATAGTCTTTTGTAAAGAATGATCAAAAATTCTTGATCACTGGACGACTTTCGATGTGAAGTAAGAGCTTACACTCTGATTTTCAATGTGTTTGCTATGTACGTAAGAAAGAATGCAAAGCCAAAATATCTCAAGATTGATATATAAATCTTACAGGAACATGTCCGGTTATGTTGGGGAAATATGTATCCTGTGATTGTAAAACTAATTAAGAAATAAATTTTTCACAAGTTGTCTAAAAGCTGTGTAGAAGCTGTTTTGATAAACAATTTTGATTCATAATGACAGATATTAAGAATATATAATAATATCATCCACTTTAACTAGTATATTGTTAAAATAAAACATTTCCATTTTTCATGTTCTTTCATCTTATGTAGGTATAATAAATGTAATCTTATCAACGATAGCTAGCTCTACATCCCATAACTATAGTTATTTGCTACAATAAAATATCTAGAAAGAACAAAATATATGAATATCAAAAAACGATTTAAGACTAACTATAATTGGGAAAGTAATTGAAATCGCTCCGGCGTAATACAGTAAAAAACAAAAAACACTGTGATTATCCCATTTTCTATCACCATAACAAATGTGTATACCCACACTTAAATGACCAAATGTATCCTTTGTCCAAAAATGTCTGTGACTTTCACT